AGCAGCCTGTCTCACACTTGCCATCAGTGTTCAGGGAAGCCCTTGTGTTTGGTTTTGTTCTTTTCTTGCTCTCCTTAGCTAAATAATCAATCAATCAATCAATCAATTAATCCTTACTTCCTTCCCTTCCTCCCTGAACAAATTAAAGGCTGAACCACAAAATAATAATACAAGAAACTTCTGGCATTTAGTCAAATTTGTCCTGACAAAGCGTAGACAGTGGGCCCAAAAAGGGAAACTATGCAATTTCAAAAATAAAACAGTAATATGCATTTCTTTTTTAGAGTCTGAAGATCTTATTTTAACGGATGTTGTCATTTAAGAATCTTAGGAAACAATGGAATGCTTAAGCCAAGTAATTATGCCTCTCCACATAAGGTAATGCCACTGAGTACTACCCTAGTTCCTAAAGGATGTATTTTTAGTGTCTGGCCTTTGTTTCACCTTTGTTTGCAGATAATTTTTAGTTAAGTCTTACAAGTAGTGTGTGAAGAAGAAAAGATGAAAGAAAGGAATAATTGCCTGAGGAAAAAAGAGCCAAAAAAAAGGAAGTTTTTTGACAAATCATCAACAAACAACTCAAATGTGATACTTGGCAGTTCACCCACTCTTTCCCTGGAGAAGTACCCTTCCCTGATTCTGTCCAAATATAGTCTATACTTCCCATAGTAAAACAGGCTGAAGTCAAGACTAAAAATCATCATGGCATGTATCAGAAGGACCACCTCCTATACCAGTTTTTCTCAATCTCAACAGCTTGAAGATATATGGACTTCAACTCTGAGAATTCACCAGCCAACATGAGCTTGATCGAAAAACTATCCCACGTGAGTCCACCTCCTCTGATTCCAGACCCTTTGGGAGGCTTGACAAGCTTGATACCCTTCAATGAAATGTTCTCCTAAAGATGATTTTTATGGCATCTACCCCAGTGTTTTGGGGGTATCAACTGCATAGCTTTAAGCTCAAAGTGGCCTTTGTTCCATTTTATAATATTGCTTAATTGGAATTCTTTTTTCAATTATTGACAGGGTTTTGTCTGCATTTTCAGAAAATACTTCAAGGCCTCATTTTTAAAATAAAAAAAATATTATTAATAATAACACTTTTAACGCCCTCGACCTGCAAACCACTTCTGAAATTTTGCAAGGAAAATGGCAGGGATTAGTCTAGGCAGTCATTAAAAATTAAAACTAACCTGAAAGCAAACACTACATACAAAAGTTTTATGTGACATGTACCATTGAAAAGTCCAAGCAGATGACAGTGCCTGGATAATTTTATCTACATCTATAGTGTGGGGCCAGATTAATACATGGATGGAAGACAACCAAGAAATCCCAGTGATGGGAAGCATAAACATCCTGGAGGAAAGCACTTCTATATGTTATTGAGCAGAGGTGGTATTCAGCAGGTTCTGACCAGTTCTGGAGAACTAGTAGCAGAAATTTTGAGTAGTTTGCGAACCAGCAAATACCACCTCTGACTGGCCCCGCCCCCATCTATTCTCTGCCTTCCAAGTCCCAGCTGACTGGCTGGGTCTTTTTTTGTTGCCCTGCATAGGAGAACGGAGCTGGAAAGCAGGTTAGTCAGGTAGGGAGCGAATGGGATTTTGCAGTATCTTTCCCCTGCCATGCCCACCAAGCCACGCCCACCAAGCCACGCCCACAGAACTGGTAGTAACATTTTTTGAATCCCACCACTGCTATCAAGCCAATTACACAGACCGAAGAAGACATGTTCAGAGGACTCATTGCTAAAGTAGCTATTTTTATCATCTTTGCCCAAATTCTGTAAATTCATTTTTACAATATTTATATTTTAAGGTTGATTTTTATATTTTATATTGTTGTGTTTGATTGTTCACACTGTCCAGAGTTCTTTTTGTGAGATGGGAGGTTATACAAATATGATTAATAAATAAATAAATTAGACGTATCAGTGTAGTCATAGAAGTAGAATCAAGAACTGACTTGAAAGAGACATCACCTTTCACTCAAGGTACACATCAGTCACTGGAAATTAAGAGTATGTATTCAACACAATTACATTTGAGAAGCAATCTTATGGTTGCAATGAAAACCTGAAAGTATCCACCACCAACCTAGGTTGCCAGGGACAAATAGGAAAAAGACAAAGGCTAATATATTCAGTATCAGGCAGTCTTGCTTTAGGCAAAATCTTAATCACACTTCTAATTTGCCTTTAAAAATCATATAGTAATATTAGGTATGCTAACTGCATACATTTATGAGAAACAGATTAAGCCACATTTTAGTTATAATTGTAGCTACAGGATTATCCATATCTTTTTTCTTTAGATACTAACATAACTCTGTCTAAATGTACCATCTGCAGAATGGGTACACTCCAAGTCCCACCAATTAAATGCTGTCACCATATGGGAGCAAGGTTTGCACAGCTTACTAGGACCCCAAAACAACATTTAAGAGTGGCTTCCTTTATTGCTCTTCACCTATAGACAGAATCTTGCCAGACTAAAGCAACCATTGGCATAACTACTGATATATTCTGAGCATAGCCACAGAGGAGCCATTTTAACCTTCTTTCTGCTGAAGAAACATTGCAAGCTCCGCTGCTTCTTTGCTCTCTGGAAAACAGCCCCTCCCTGCTGGGAACCCAGATTATGACACCTTAGGTTCTTGGGAAGAATGTGTTGTGTATGAAGGCCAACACAAGTTTAAAAAATCTGGCAATTGTGACTTCACACTGTTGTGAACAGGTAACAATATCATCCTTGATTTATTTAGCATTTTAAATATTGTTTTGTCCAATTTGTAGAAAGTTAAGATAATTATTGAAGCTATTATCAAGCAGCTTAACATTAAGCTCCTCCAGTTTACTGTAATTTCAATTATTCAGCCAGGCTACATGAGTCCTCCAAATTTGCAGAACAATACTTTCAAATGACATAAGCCAGAGGTATAGAACTAATAAGTAACTTGTGGGTGGTCATTCTTATTCCATCCTGTTAAGCAGCCTTCAGTATTATCAAGCAGTTATAGACCCATTGTGACAACTGAACTACAGCATCACCCATGCACCTGCAAACCCAGCAATATGTACAATGCAAGGACTGGAAGGAAGAAATATTCACAGTATTTCTGTGCACCTGAATGTTTGGAAATGTGACAAAATGTTGTGAGTGATAATTTTAAAGAAAATGGAAAACACTCTGCATGTGGAGTAGCTTATAACTGCTGACTTTTCATAGGATTTAGAACTGGTAACAGAAATGAATTATGTATGATAAGAGATTTTCAGTTCTTTCTTCCCCTCATATCTTATGAAATATTTCTGAAATAAGAAAGAAAAAAAAGACACCTTTCTTCTGCAGCTCTCTGGAAGCTGCCCTGCCTCTGCCATTTAGAGTCAGGTACTTATATGTTAATAAAGTATAGGACTAATACTGATGAGAGATTCATAGTTCTTCGCTATCAGTCAATTCAGGCCAGCTGACTGAGCTGTTATATAAAAAAATTGGAAATGTAAGTCTTATTATAGCATCTTGACTGAAATAATAATAGTAGTAATTAAAAGTTATAATGATAATTAGCCATTTGTCTGTTAGGTTTGAGAATTACAAGTCTTTTTGATCTTTTTTTATTACATAATAAAGAATGGGAAGATTTTAATGGGAAGGAAAAAATTCTTTTTCTTCCTTTGCTCTCGAAACTTCAGCTGTGCTGCAGATCTGCATGAAAGTGTTCTTATTAAAGAAAGAGGCATACGCTAATATTTTATTGCAATTTCTTTACTTTTTCCTGTATTAGCTGCATAGCACTTTTGACTGCTTAAATTCCAAACAAGGTTCACTGCAATTTTAAGACACAGTTTAGGAAGTCTAATTAATCACTGCAGGATTAACATATAAATTCACATATATAGGATTGCACTGGACACAAGAAACATTGCAAATTACTCATCCTTCACTGGGGAAAACTGAAGCTTTTGCATAATTTTGCTACCTCCGCATTAGTGATTGTTTTAAACTGAAACAAAATCAAAACCTAACTTTTTCCAGTAATCTTTAAATCGAGGAAATTCATCTGAAAGGATCAAATACAAAGTGATAAATACTACATTAATCACCAGTATTTTAGCTCTCCCCAAAATTATTTGGTTCTCGATGGAGCAGTTAAAAAAAAATAACGCTGTGACATTATTAGTTCTAATGGGGCTTGCTCGACTTGCTTATGCATGAATTTATCATGAAAAGAAAATTATACAGAATTGGAAGTTGTAAATTTTGAACAAAGATGTTATGTGTACTTTTTTTAAAAAAAAAATCTACTCTGCAGTTGTGGGGAACTTCTTAGGTCAGAGTACAAGACTGATAATAATAGCTTAAACAACAAATAACTGCCATTGCTTTATTGTAGTAAAACAATTATACTAACAAGAATTTATACTGCCAGACAATGCCTTATATACAATGGAACAGAAACCTAAAATAATGCCCCACAACACATAAATCTAAAGAAAGATTTGAAGGTTAAGTTAATATTCAGAGTCAGATCAGCTTCTTGTTAAGTAACCCAACAGGCTTAAAAACTATCATGAACTAGACTTTTTAAAGTTGATTTTACCCTATGCACACCGGGTAAGCCTCTATTTTTATTAACACCTAAGCCATCATGTTCAATAAGAAAACTGAATTATCTCTGAAACAACTGGCAATATAAATAATCATCTCTATTTTTATACAATAAAAATAACAAATATAATAGTAGTGGAAAAATTCAAATCTAAAAAAGAGATGGGAGAGGTAACATAAAATCGAAATACGATGAGCATGAATGAAAAAAGAGAGTATATGGAAAGTTTCACCTTGCCCTCAAGGGAGAGAAAGGTTACATGCTGTTAGTAGGAGTGGGCAAAGGCACAAGACATCAAGATGGGAGGGGGTGAATTTCTCAATTAATTTAAATTCAATAGCCAAGTCTCTGGATACAGCTACTAGTTTTTATCTAAGTGGAAGGAAAGGGTGGGTGGACGGGTGGAGGGAAGAATTTTAAGTGCCAGGAACTTTTACCAAAACGTGGGTCAAGTCTTGGATCTAGCCAAGATGTAGTCTTGTTCTTATGGTTTATGTAGTAAATTTCTCCATCCTGGGTCATGGCTTGTTCCCATCCTTCAGGGAGCGGGCCTGTAACACAGAAGGAAGCAATTCATAGTAGGCTGTGCTATGCCTGCTGAAAAAAAGTAGCTAAACTTAAAAAAGAAACAAACCTCAGTTAATTTACATAAAACCCAGCACACATGAAACTAATTGTTTCAACATATCGCGTGGCTCTGAGGGTTTAAGGCAGGGGTGTCCAACCTTGGCAACTTGAAGACTTGTGGACTTCAACTCCCAGAATTC